CAATTCTGTAATCGGTGAAGTCTTAAGCTCCCTCAATGGGGACACTTCAAATTTCCTATTTAAACATCCTCTAAACTGACCATTTACTATATCTACAACTATTCAGTCTCAAATAAACTAATCATCTGCATAGGCTTGAGTGTTTAAACAATTTATTTATATCAAATGGCAGGCGTTTTGATAGTTATCATTAGCCCTTTAGCTGACTTCAGGCTTCACAGAGGGGAAGGAACATCAAAGTGAAAAAAAAGTCGAGAGTGGGGGAGGGGGCACAGAAGAGTGTTTCAAAGATGTAAAAGAGACCGACACAAAGGTAGAAAAAAGGTGAAGTGAGTACTGTGGAAGTAGTCGAATACGACATGCCATGGGGTGATGGTGATGGTCAGAAGTCTACAATAACCTCTAATCTTGTGCGTATATTAAAAGTAAGGCAGAGTATCGTGTTTTGATTTAGTTCTGAGACAAGGTGAATTCTCTCACGCGACAAGCATGCTGTTTTTTTTGGAGTATTAATCCCTGGGAAATAAACTGGAGGAGGGAAACACTACACCCCAAAAGGTGGAATAGGGACGCAGGTGGGAGATAATGGCTTTCAGAGAACACCGACCAAATTGGATTGTGCAAATCTATCATGGCAGCTTAAGGATTATAGTTGGAAAAAAGGAGATGAACAAAATGCAATTGTGGCTAAGTATCAATGCGCACACTTGATATGCGTTATGAAATCTCTCATATATGGTTGGAGTATGGGAAAGCTTAATAAGTTAAAAGATTTTGTTCCAAGAAAATGCTAAAGCTTTTTCTCTTCTTACTTTTAATTTTGAGATAAATGAAGAGGCAGAATACGTCATGTAAACCGTTCGGTTTTTCCAATATATATATATACCATTAGCCCTTTAGCTGACTTAGGACTTAACAGAGGGGAGAAACATCAAATTGAGAAAAATTCAAGAGGGGGGACAGAAGAGTGATTCACAGGTGTAAATTAGACAGACACAAAGGCAGAGAAAATGTAAGGTGAGTACTGTGGAAGTGGTCGAATATGACACACAGTGGGGCCATTGTAGCTTGAGGTCAGAAGTCAACTTTAAACAAACCTCCCTCCCTCCTCCCACCCCTGATCCAGTTCAAAGGCTCTCATTTATTTTAGAATTTGCAAAAGTTCGCTTACAATCCGAAGTGTATTAATAATAAAAATCGGGCAAATTCAATCTTAAGGTCAAGTTTTTTATTCGGATTTTTATCTCACCCCAAACTTGTTTTAATTATTTGGTTTTTCCTTGTTTAGCCATCCTCCATGTGAATGGTAATAATTCGAAGGCATGAGAAATCATGAGCCGATCTCAGTTGAACGAAATGCTTAAGTTTCATTAGGCAAACGCGGAGTAACCTTGACGTGACAAAGATCGCTTATAAAGCGCTCAAAAGGGCTTTGATGACTTTTATTAAGGGTGCGCAATAGACTTATCTCCATGTGGTGCACCCTGGGCAACGTATACTTATACGGCAAAAAAGTCTATTAACTGACAATAGACTTCTGACTTCAAACTACTATGGCCCGGCTATTTGTCATATTCGACCCCTTCCACCGTACTCATTTACCTTTTTTATGCCTTTGTGTCTGTCTGTCTGTCTCTTTTACATCTGTGAATCACTCTTCTGTTCCCCCTCTCGACTTTTTCTCACTGATGTTCCTTCTCCTCTCTGTGAATCCCCAAAGTCAGCTCCAAGGCGAATGATAACTATCAAAACGCCTGCCATTCGATATAAATAAATGACTTTTAATAAGTCATCAATGCTGTATCAGCAGTCTGATTACAGTTAAACTGTGTCTGTGCTGGTCTCTCTCCCTTCGAGACTCGCACCAACAGGGATGCAATGAGATCAAGCACTCAGGCATGCTAATTTGACTACTCCGCAGTCTACTCGGTCTAAACCAATCAACATCCCCCCCCTCAGTTGCTTCCAGTTAATATTACCTTCGCCGAGCACCATGTAGTTGGGTTGTATACTCTCTCTCTCTCTCTCTCTCTCTCTCTTTAACAGCCAACATATCTCAGGACATTTCATCATTAGTCAATTTATTAACTAATATGACGATTTTTACGAAAAAAACAAGACATTATGCATAAATGACTGCTTATTAAAATGTGGTAAATTAGAGGGTCGCCGACTTACATAAGTTGGAAGAGATGTATCAGTAATTATTATTTAGTTCCTCGATTTGTGGTGTTTTCGAGAGGCTTATCAGCTTAGAACAACATGAATCGATCATTTTAACTTGTGACAAATGAGCCCCCGGGCTAACTTTAGGGAACCTCTTAGAAGCGCAACAAGACTCCAGAAGGGTCATCTAGTTAAAATTGCCCGCAAAATCAAATCGATCTCGCGAAGAACAAAGAAGGCGTCATGTGGAGAGGGTTTAGTACAAAAGCGTTCAGTAATCGCGTTCAAGTAACACTAAATTATGCCAATATTAATTGCTGATTGGTTGTAAGGCCTCTGTACTTAGGCCTGTGATTGGTTGATACGTGATTGGTAGCACGGCGATATCAAGGATTAGCTATTATTAGTATTACTTCCTCAAATATTTGGCCTAAATAATTTGCACGCCATTTGCAACAAGTCTAAGACCTTAGAAGGTCTGTATTTTGAAAGAAATTCTCAGCAGCCAATGAGGCCGTTTGTTGATTAATTGAAATCTGCATGCATTCGATGTTGTACGTCTAACCTACTCACGTGCGATATTTGAGAGCAGTTCGGGCTAATGTAATGATTTGGAACTACGCATATTTTCCCAGAAGATCCTAGTGAAACCACAATATGACCGCATCGTATCTTATAATAAGTCAATTAAAATTGATTTAAAAGGCAAGGCACGTGCATTTAAGGCTGACAGAAGACTGTTATACTGATTAGGACATTATCATGTGTCTGAATACTGCCAGTATGAATACCGTACTTGTCATTAAGTCATTGGATATTTAGTCACGATAACTCATAAATCGTTCGTAATGACATTTTCATAATTAATTATAGCTAAAAAAATTTACATTTGACATGAAATGTATACCCGAAAGCTCGAAACTAAGTTCGTTTAAAGTTAACAAAAAATGGACGCATAGTTTGTGCTAGCAATAATGTCAGTTTTAGAAAGTAATGATTAAAATGTGTATTTTGTCTCCTTTTAGCATTGTCTCTCATCGTCGATCATGAAGCTGAGGATTCTTGATCGATTATCTACACACCAGAATCGACCATTCCAATCCTTCTCGTTGGCTCGATCTAGTAAAACACCAAAAGAAGCTCAAATGGGCCCAACTTAAGGCTCATAGTTATGGTAGATTCGACTTTACCGCGATTGGGCAGGAAACTTGGTCCATGTTCTGCAGCATCATTTCTGAGTGGAACTGGCGTTACCTTTTGCTGACGAACAGTCTTGAGAGCTGATTTTGCTTGCTGAAGGCTCTCGTGAAAGTTATTTGCTGTTGAACCATCCTCTTCTGGCGGTTTGGAAGACTCCATTTCAAGGAATTCCTAAAATGAATGAAATTGTGCTCAAAGCAATTAAAACTTAGGTGCACCTGATATTTCAATCAGAACTTATTTGAACGCGAGTACCCTTTTCCAAATTCACTCAAATTTCACCGTTTTCTTCAACTATAGACTTTTGAATCTATATTGCCAATATGCTTATTACAATACCTTTCAATAAATTATTATTATATATGGCTGTATTTTTGCTCATTTCAGTGAATGCGGCTAGGTCAAATTTAAGAGCTGAAACGAATCTGCCTTGAGAAGTCAGTGGAATCTTAAATTGCGTAGCTACAACAGGTAATTCAAGATGAACTGTTGAAAAAAAAGATTGAAAAAATCGGCAATGCCAATTTAGGCATTTAGAACTCGGAGGGTAAAGCCCTTGAAAGGGATTCCCTATTAGAGGGTAATGGAAAGGCTTGCTTGACTCATCACTGAATTTTCAAATCCAGTTCACCAACTGATTTTTAATGCTGTCAATTTTTACACCAATTATGATCGGTTGGATAGAAGTAATTGCACTCTATGAAGGCTGTGGTGCAAATACTCCTCAAATTGCCGCTCAATTGAACTTACTGTCTTTTAATTCTATTCAAATTGAGACTGGATTATTGAATTCTCCCTTATTTCGGACGCAAGGTGGCAGATTGAAGGATATTAGTTAATAGAATCTGCTCTCGAATTGCCCAGACAGGCGAGTAGTTTTCTCGAAATACTTATCCAACTCCATCTAGTCCCCAGTTATCCCCCTCCCCCAACCCCTTCTAAAGGTAAATACAAATTGAGCAAATGAAAATGAACAAGTAGAACCGTTCCAGAAATAATGTATCATTAAGTTAATTGCTGAAACATCAGCTGAACGCATTAACTGTGGATAATGATCTGTCGGAAGTGAGCGTAACTCGTACAGAGTGGGTATAGAATGATGAATTTTTGGAAACGGTGAACGGATAAGGCATATATCATGAGGCATGGGTTCTTTCGTAGTCCAGTCATGCGCCTATCATTGCATTTCTGTGATTTAACTTACCAAATAAACACCAGTTTAAAAATTAAAACAAATAATGGTAGACGTATTGTTGAAAATGAATTTTTTTGGAAAAGTTAATCTTCCGCAAAATGAAAGGCAATTTTTTTCAGTTTTGTTTCTCTAAAGAAACTTAAATTCAGATAATAAAATCAAATGCAAGTGTGGCTTTTTTTGATTTGTAAATGGAAACGACCTTCTCAAAATTGGGGACATGAAAGGGAGCGAAGGTCGGTGTCGATGTCTTCAGAAGTGGAGAGATGCCTGAATTCTGATTGGTTTCTGTGGCAGTATTTTCGACGGTTGCTCCAACACTTGGAATATCTTAAATTAATAATCCAAAATGTGTCGATAAATGTAAAATAATTCAAATGCAAATTTATTTATTTATTTATTGGTAAATGTTAAATGGTTCCATTAAATTTATCTCGCTAACTTTTTCTGCCTCTAATAGCCTACTTAAAATTTTCTTACTAGTATGAGTAAGCATCCTAGGTTTTTTTAAATGATGTAAAAGCAACAGTTTTATTGTGAAATGTTTTATTATTTTTTAAATAATAAAACATTCCATCTTATTGGAGGGCTTCATCTATGAAATCTCTCTGATAAAAATCTCTCAATCTACTGAACTAGGCTTAAATGATGTTTATAACGCAAATATATCTGAGCACTCTAATCAATTTCGTAAGAATTTTATCGATCAATCCTTCTAGCATTTATTCTCTTTACAGAAGGAAAAAGTGGTCTTTTATTCCAGATTTTATATCGAATATCGGGAAAATATTCTATCGAGCAGTTTAATTTCGGAGTCGATTTGGATCTTCACAACTTTGTGTGTGTGAAGAACGCATTCGAAGCCACCCCTCAATCCTGCAAGCATAAATCATGGTCAAACAAAAGTTAGTACATGTGAACGTGAATTGGCTTTAAATTTGTATTTGGGTTAATTTTATGAGGCCAGGAAACGATAAATAATTGAATCAACCCCGAATTCAATCACGTAAACAGTAATAGAAAGAAAAAACATTAATAATATTAAGCTCTTCACACCGATGCGGAGTGTACTATGACACCACGACTGACTAAAGGAACTAAAACATTATTGAATAGTGCGTCGTCCTTGATAGCTCCGGGTAACCAATCACGAGGCTACTTCCAGAGGCCTCTTAATCAATCAGCAGTCAACATTCGTGCAACTTAACATTGCCTATACGCGGTAGCTAAAAGCATTTGCACTAAACACTCTCCCCCCCCCCCACTCTCACACTGACCTTGACGAAATCGAGTTGATTTTGTGGGCAATTAGAACTAGATGACCCCACTGGAGCCTAGTTGCACTTCTAAGAGGATCATCATTATTCACTTCAAAGTTAACAATACCATAGTAACGCTTTCAGCCTCACGATAAACGCAAAATAACAGAATGCGACTAGCATTTAAAAAAAACATTACTATGATCACTTTATGACAATTCATAAAGATAGCGCATAAGTGCATTAAGGATTTGTCAAGGAGGATATTGCAAGGAAACAATACCTTCATTATTACAAGAAAGGTTATCACTGTTGCTCAATTTCCTATTCCGATATCTGCCGAAGAAGTAACATTTAAAGTCTTATCTAGAGGGTATGACGGGAAATTGAATTCTAAAATGCATTGCATAGAGGGAATCTAAAGAGACTACAATTCGATTGATCGATTCTGCCCTTGACAAAAGTGTCTCAGAGACTTGACCAATGACCCGACAAAGTAGATGAATATGTCTATAGACGAAGGAGTCACCATTTGTCGTATATTGAAGTAAATCTGGAAGAATCCTAGTAAAAATAAGGTAAGATTAGCTTTAACTTTAAATATGACCTAAAGATTAGTACTGAGCGGACATTCTATGTTGTTCATTCTGTGAAAATTAAAAGGAAAGTGTAGCTTTAGGGAGAATCAAAGAATTTTGCAATTTAAATATTGGCCTACTCAACTGATGCTATTTAGATGTGGTAAACCTAATAATTACAAATTGAAAAATTACACGATTTCATTCTCTTAACTTTTAGTCAGTTTATTGGAATGTTTCCATCTGTTTTCACAACGCGCTAATTCCACACGCAATTATCGTGCAAAATCAGCAAAAAACAAACATTTTACTGAGACAAAAAAATATGAAAATTATTATTAAAATGGAAATTTTTCAGAGATACATGAACTTTGGCAGAAAATCGGACTTGGATTTTTTAGGAGAGAAACTAACATAAAATTTAGAGAGGTCAAATCTTATGGCGTCCAGTAAATAGCACAAGTCATTTGATTGACAGGAAAAGATTGAGCGTAAACAAAATCGAGTGACTATCTTCGCATTATCAAATGACACCCATAATCATATTACTAAACACTTACTTCCATATCTCCTCATGTTTATGATAAAATAAAATGCATAGAATAATAATAATGCACGGATATTGGGGTTTTGGCAGTTAGTTGCTGAAAAAGGGACTTACGATTGATTTTTATTACTTCCTCTTCAAATTCCCCGTGGTATTTGCTGTCTTCAAATTGTTCTAAAGGGCAAAATTCAGACGCTTTAAGTATGAAGCAAGGGATGTGCGATAGACTTACCTCCACGTGGTGCACCCTGGGCAACGTATACTCATACGGCAAAGTGGTCTATAAACCGGCAGTTGACCTCTGACTTCAAACTACCACCACCCCACTGTATGTCCCATTCAACCACTTTACGGTACTCATCTTACCTTCTCTCTGTCTTTGCATCTGTTTGTCTCTTTCAAATCTGTGAATCGCTCTTCTGTTCCTCCCCCCCCCCCCCCCACCTCTCTGTGAAGCCCGAAGTCAACTAAAGGGCTAATAATAGCCATTATAACGGCTACCATTTGATATAAGTAAAGGCTCTAAGCAAGTAAATAAACCAAATGTATAAGATTTATAATAAATTGACCCCGGTCAAGAGAAAGTCAATTAAATATACAATTAATGAATACTCACCCTCTCTAAACGAGTCGAAATGCTGAATTGTTTCATTTATTGATATTGCCGGAGATGTTTCTGGGGCTGCAATAGCAGGTCATTATTGGAAGTTTTAAAATAATTTTAAATGCTAATTAAGGTTTAATGTCGTGTTTCATTTAAATAAGAGCGATTATTCTTAAACAAAATTGAAACAAAAAGTGATTCATTACTTGTTCTGCATTCAGTGGAAAGCGAGTTCGCATCGTGGACTTCCTTATCCGGTTCGATAAAAGATTTGGGGATGAAAAAGCGCTCCGATGCGGAAGGCTCATCTTGATATTCGTCCATAGCATGGATATTTATGGTGGAGATAGTGCCAGACAATTCTTGAGTGACGTTTAAACTCTCAGAGGAGTTTATATCCGATATTTCTATGAATTAAAAATTAATAAAAAGTTCAATAAAGTCCCAAATAAGTTTCATGTAAAAATCAAACATTAAATGAACTTAGGCATTCAAAATAAAATTGTGACGTTATAATATTTACCTGTCATTGATTTTGCAAATGTTTGATCTAAATGATGTTCATTAGTGGACATATCCGGATGCAATAACTGGGATTCTTTAGATGCACTTCTACAAAGTCGCCTGCGAATTGGAACTGGAGGTGGTGGAGGAGCTGGTTTCTTCTTCTATCATTTAAAGTAAAGAAATAAATATGAAAAAATAATTACTTAAGGATGAACCAGATGAGTTATTTATTACCCTTAAGGTCGGTGGTGGGGGCAATGTAGAATCTTTCACTGTATTTTTTGCATATTTTGTATATTTTGTAGAATCGCAATTGTTCCAAGTAACATATTTTGGAACATCCATTTTAGGTACACACTGAATGTACATTTTTCTTTCAGTTACATCAAAAAATGGTTCAATTATGGCATCTTTGATCCGCATTGAAGGAGTTGCCACTTTCCAAATAAACTTTGAAGTGGATACCTCATCCGATGGTACAAGAAAAACGAATCTCGTTACGTCCATTTGGTGTGATCTGCAGTAGATTATCAGTAAATTGTGAAAATGCGTTGAGGTATCAATATCGTTTAAATAATGGGTTTGATTTAACTGAACATTTTTAACAACAACAGTGCAGAGGGTCGAATTCGCATTTCCACATTCATTCATAGTTCTATCGCCGTTCGCCTTTTTACGAAGAAAGCCCATCACCTTGAGTAAAACTTGAAAATGTGGGTTTATTGTGTTTAAATACTTTCAAACGTTAAAACAAAATTAGGTCAAATAAACATTTAAAACCTTTTTCCGCATCGACCAGATTAAATAATGTTTAAAGTTGAACATCATGACAATAATCTTTTTACTAATAGGTAACGTGCATGCATTAATAATTTATATGTGATTTTGAATTTAAAGAAAATTATTGTAATAAGATTTTAATACGGTTTTTCACAACAATCAGTTCCTTAACTCTGTAGCCATTTGATTACTCACTTTTTGCTCCATTTAGAAACATTTAAATATTAGAAGGCAGTATGATAGTGACATCTTCTTTGTACTCATTTCAAGACGTTTCTCAATCCAGGGATAATTTTTAACCTTTATGTGTTCCCTGTATTGAAACCTTTAATCTATTTTAATAAAGAATTTGGATAATCTTTCTGCGTATTCCCAAGTTAAATTGAATTAAATTAAATTTCGTTAGAGATTTCGCCTAATAATTATTCAGATGAAAATCATTCAATATCCAGTACCAGTAGGTAAAAAAGTAAAATTGACACATACTTGTGGCAAAATGTTTCGTAATAGTACCTCTAAATTTGGATAGATTATTTCGTATACTTCCCGTTGAGTAATCTATAGATATGATTCATGAATGACTTAACTAAATTTATATTCTAACAATTAATATAATTTATAAAATGACAAGAGAGTTGCAGTAAATAGACACAGATTTTGTAGCCGTGAATATGTTTTCCAACTGTTTTATTATTCAAGGTCGTTACCGGAACTTCTGAGTCGCAACGCAGGTTTTGATATATCCTTTCGACTAACGATTTCGCCTTTTCCTCTTATTTTTACCTTCTTAGAATGAGTAAAAAATTGGAAAGGCGATTCTGGTGTCTTTTGACACTTACAAGTCCTGAAGATGTCTCGGAATCTCATATATTTGAGATTTATAAACTTGGAAAAGATCCTTGCACTTTTAGTGCATGTCGGTAAGTCTAAAGTCAACGTTCTTTATCTCTAAATGTCACAATTGTGGATCACATGATATTCGTACGAACGAAATACGAAGTATAACGGATTTATATATTTATTTCGCATACATTTTAATTTTGCTATTTTAAAAATTGTTAGTACTATGTGCGAAACGAATATTCGATGTCTTAACGGTCTATATAAAGTGGAGAAAAAGAATGACAACCGGGTTGAACCGACTGATCAAACTGTGGAAAATAATAGCGTACGATTTTTTTTAAATCTCAATAATTCTACTATTATATTATAATGCCATTTTTTTCTTTTTAGCCCTATCTTGGGTTGAGAAATCTCGGCAACACTTGCTACCTTAATATTTTTCTACAATTGTATTACCATATGCCTGAGTTTCGGAGACTCATTTACGAATTTGATGGTAAATATACATCATTTTCATTTCTCCCTCGCTATTTCTGATCACTAGTCTTATTATGAGTTTTGATAATGTTGTCAGCTTTCATAATTAGCACTCACATGTACTGTACCCATTGAAAACCTATGGCAAAGCTTGAAGGGGTAGGTGAATTAATTTTAAAATGGTGTTTCTTATCTTTTTTTCGTGCCATTTTATTCGATTTGGATTTATTTACGATTCTTTCCTCATTTCTTTCGGGGAAATTGGTTTTTCTAACGGTAGTGTTTGTTGTTAGAATTATTTGTGAGCACCCAAATAATATCTGATTAAATTAAATTAAATAAATTAATACCATTAGAATCGGTAGTCTTATGTCCGAACGTCAAATCTTAGTTTGTGCCAACTTTCAACTACATTAGTGAAACAAGTGAGTTCATAGCTGTAGTAGTTTTATTTGGGATGATAGTTGGCAATTCTTGCATTTGTTTTTGTTTCATTAACCAGAAACTTCTAATTTGCATGCTTCTTCTCTCATTAGTAGTTATATTTGTCCGGTAAATTTTGGTTTTTTTCTCTAAGACGTATAACTCTCCCTCCTTATCAATTGTTTTCATTTTATTGAATGCGCTAAACATAGCATCTTGTGTTATTTTTCATTTTAGTTAGATCTTATTTTTGTTTATTTGACTACATTTTATACTTTAAGGGTCACGGCTATTGTAAGAATTTTTTCGGCTTTCATTTGATATGGTAGTGATTTTTATTCAGTGCTGTTTTATCGTTTTTTTTAGTCAAAGACTATGCCAGTCAAGCAATTTTCAAAGATTTGAAACTCATTTTCGGCCAATTACAGCTAAAGATTGAGGGGTAACGTTTAAAAATATCCAAAAATATATATACAATGAATAGTTATAATTTTTTTTATTGTCACCAAAATCTCCGTTATTTTTCAGCCCTGTCGATCCCTCGAATATAGCTGCAACTCTCGATTTGGTGCCAACCATTCAACAGGTGTGGAATACGTTCACACTACTAAGCAAATTCAATTCTTTTTTTTGTGATACATCACCTTCCGTGTGTTGCTTGTTGTAGGATGCACCGGAATTCCACTCGCTCTTTTTAAGTCTCCTTGGAGAATGCTGCTCAAATATTCCAAGTTTATTTAAAGGCTTCGATGCTTATGAAACGCGGTAGGGTTTCTGTGATTCCTCGTGCGCTTTCCTGAAATATTTGAGGCTTTTCTACCTACCTACCTCTCTCTCTCCTCAAGGTGCAAGAACTGCGACTATCTCTCCCGAAGTTACTCAGGGTACGTTGAATTGGAGATCATGCCTTCTGAAGGGAATCTTGAGAGTGCGCTGAAAAATGTGCTGAAAGTAAGCTAATTTCGCCATGTCAATAATTAAACATTTATTTACTTCAAATGGCAGACTTTATGATAGTTATCATTAGCCATTTAGATGACTTCGGGCTTCACAGAGAGGAGGGGGGGGGGACATCAAAGTGATAAAAATTCGAGGGGGGGGGGGGGGACAGAAGAGTGATTAGCAAATGTAAAAGAGACAGACAGACACAACGGTCGAGAGTAGGGTAAGGCGAGTACTGTGGAAGTGGTGGAATATGACATACAGTGGGGGAGTGATGGTAGTTTGAAGTGAGAAGTCAACTGCCGGTTAATAGGCTTTTTTGCCGTATGATGAGTATACGTTGCCCGGGGAGGTAAGTCTGTATATAAATGGGTAGCCTCCCTCCCCCGTGATCTCTGCTACCCTAAGGTCATACTTGCATGCACTTGGAAGGACCGACAGATCAGAAAGCACTGGGAGGGAATTTTCGCACACATCCGGATAACGATTTACAAAATGTGGACTTTAGAGTTTGAAGATGTGGGCTGTTGGCCAGGTGTCTGCAAGTCAAGTCAACGGTAAACTAAGCAACAAGTTGATGTCACCATTCTCTAATAATGTTTACATGTTCAATTCAAGTTACCATTTTCGTCTTGCCTCGTTGACATAGCAAGAGCAACCAGTTGTTTACTTGCATGGAACTACTTTAACCATTTTAGGAAGAATCTCTTGAAGGTACCAATCAGTACTCCTGTTCCAATTGCAACGGAAAGCGGGATGGTTCTCGTCGACGCCGCATCATCTCCACCCCCAAGTATATCAATTTCCACCTAATGCGATTTCGCATGCGCGATGATATGTCTCGCGAGAAGATTACAGATCGATTCCGTTTTCCCGATTTCCTTGACATGGCCCCCTTTGTGTCAGGTGGTGAGTCATCTCTCTTCGCTGACCCCATTTCTATTACCTCTACCTCCTTCAGATACTCCTTCAACTGAAAAGAGGGCAACGAACCAGAATCTCAAGTACCTCTGTTTTTGTATCATGCTGCATATCGGTAGTCAACCGACTGCCGGACATTACATCTGCCTGATTAGATGTCGTGAAGGTCAGAAGACTGTTTGGAAGGTCTGCAACGATGAATTCGTAAGTCTTTATCTATTTCGATTGTAACTTTTCTATATGTTTTATGTGAATTAGTCCTTATTACATTTTACCCTTATTCTCATTGATGACCTTCGATTCAAGAGATTAATCCGCCCATGAAATTTTTAAAAGAAAGACCGTGTGTGGGGTTTCGGGGAGGGGGGGGGGTTGATTGGAATTCATAGAAGCTACTTTGTTGAACTGAGTTGTGGGAGGCTGATGATCTGTCATGGTTTGGAACGCGTAGAGTTACCTTCTGAGAACTATCTACATCTCTTATGCTCCCAGTTCACAGATTAGGAGAACCAAATGCCCCCACGTTAGCAAAACCTGACTTCGTTGAGTCTTATCATACTAAATAAGCAGTTTCGTGGGCAAAATTACTGCCTGATATTTGGAAAAGGGGATTTGGCTCTTTCTTCTTTCGACTGCGAAACTTACATTCAAACACTGCAACTTGATAAACATCATGAGTAGCTACGGCCCATGCTGCAATCACGATGAACGTTTGTCACCATTGTACTGAATTCGTCTATTCCAGTTTGATGTGACTTGGGACTAGTTTCACGTCGTGTCCATGCGCTCGAGCGCCGATTTTAATTGAACCGGGTTAAGGGGAGTGGGGGGGAGGTATTCCAGTTGAGTAACTCAAAAATTTATTAATATTTTAAGTCATCCACACTGACGAACATCGATGCCATCTACTCAGTCCTTCACGTCGACCATTGTGCCATTATCATACTTCTTGGTTAAATACACTTGCAATCAGATGTATCTCGAGGGGTTAAATTCTTTCAAACTCGATTTTTAGATCTTGTATTAACTTTGAAAAAGAAAGTGTGATTGCTTTTTTTCTGAATTCCAGGCGTTTACCATTGCCGATGAGGACTTTGATGCCTCCTTGTTCAGCACTTCCATAACTAGTTATTCGGCTTACACCTCAAGATTACAAAACGCTGCCTCCAAAGCGCAAGCAAAAGAGAAAGAAAGAAGAAGCTCTGTTGGAAGACGTAGTAGTCGTGGAAGGAAAAGTGTTGGCGAAGTGGATGGTGAAGGGAAAGATACTGAGACTGCTACACCAGTTGCCGACGGTTATCATTCCTCGACAACCGCCTACCTGATCATTTATCGGCGCATGGAGGAAGGGGAGGCGAAAGGTGATTATGGAACAGCTAAATGGGAAGTAGAAGTTCCGGAAGAGGTTCGACTTGAAATTGAAGAAATGGATTATCACAAGCGTATGGAGAAGGTTCGTCTGTTTATTTTCTTTTAGTGCCTTGGTGAGTTCACTGAGCGAAGCGTTTTCTAATGCTCGTCGTGTAGCGACTAAGATGACGGCTGCCCTGAGAATTCATAGGTCACGAGTTCAATATCCAGTGAGTGGAGTGGGGTGGGGCCGTCTGTGCAAACCTCTTAGATCTGGCTAATAAAAAGGTGCGGCAGGCTTCCATTTCCATCAACAAAGGTTCCATGATGTCACTCTTCTTGGCAACATGATTGTTGGAGTTGTTGTTATTGTGATTTTGGCATCTTCCGGGGAGGAGGGGGAGGGGGGGGGGGGGGGGGGGGGGGGGGGGTTAAACATTTTGGCAGTGTGCTCGCACCATTCGCCGAACAAGGACTTTCTTCATTTCCATCTGTAAAACGGGGGCTGTGATCAAATGCGCTGACTTTATTTCTGAGATGAGGCTAACTAAAACACATTTCTCTGCCGAAAGGGTTTCCACTTCATTCTCCGCGACTCTGGAAAGTAAGTATTTTGAAAGAGTTAAATGGGGGGGGGGGATCTGGACTTGTGTTGGGGTTGAAGCCTGAGTACAAGGAGTTTCAATGCATTTCGGATTCGGGCTGAACAATAATTGCTAAAGGGTCCACCTACTTTCCATAATTACATCATCATCCATTCATTTCAAATGGCTTCGGGCTTTATGACAATTATATCATTAGTCCTTTAGCTGACTTCGGGCTTCACAGAGAGGAGGAGGAGGAGGAGGGGGAACACCAAAGTGGCAAAATGTCGAGAGGGGGGGGGGGACAGAGTAATGATTCACGGATGTAAAAGAGACAGGCAGACAGACAGACAAAAAGGTAGAGAAATAGGTTGGTGAGTACTGTGGAAGTGGTCGTGTATGACATACAGTGGGGTGATGGTAGTTTGAGGTCAGAAGTCAACTGCCGGTTAAGAGACTTTTTTGCCGTATCATGGGTATACGTTGCCCAGGCTGCACCACGTAGAGGTAAGTCTATTACACACCCCCTTTCCATAATTACTATCTTGTACCTATTTGGTACCAAAAGTAGCTGGCGTTGGTTCTGTTTGTGGTAGAGAGCACCACTATTATCTTTCTTCATTGTGAACTTTCGCATTTGCATCACCCGAATTGCCTTGAGTTTGGGTGCCATAACTAGTGACATATATGCATGAATTTGATTGGTTGCTTTGGTAATGATGGGTTTATTTGGAATTCTGCTTGATTTTACTTCGGTGCAGCTCTCCCTACACCTAGTGGCACTTGTTTACTGGGCTTGAAGATGGTGTCAATTCAGGACTTATTTTTCATTTAAGGCAAGAGAGAAGGAGGTCACGTTGATGCGACCGGCATGGCGAATGCGTCTCTTTGACCTCCTGCGAGCTTCCATTTCACCCAAGCGCCCCAAATGGTCTTCCGACGATAGTTTCGCCTCCTTTTCAGACATCTGCCTTGTTCCCACAAGGTGGCTCAAGAAGTGGTTTAACAATCCTGATATTTTGCCCCCACAACTGCTCGATTCCAACGGCGGAAAAATTCTTCCTCTTGCTGGTGATGCTACATTTGAGTTGAAACCTTTTCTATGTCGCCATAATCATATTTCCCCTACAAGTAGTCTTGAAAGTATTCGAGCTATCTCACCACATCAGTTGGATGTGGCTCTTCAGTGCGCAAAGTCTCGTACTTACTCAGATGTACCCAAAGAGTCCACCAAAGGACCTTCCTGCCTGAGCCGTGAAGCATTGGATCTGCTTTCCCCCTGTGTGCAATGTATTCGTCATCGAGTCACTGATAATCGTTTTACTGAGGTGTGTGATACAATCACCAAGGAGATGCGGAATTGGAAGAAGGTTAGCAAGGATGGTACCTACCCATTTGATGGAAGCGTAAGTTCCTAAAACCACCTACCTACTCTAACTGCATCTGGAGGAGGTACAGTATTCCGCATTTTTTAGAGCGCCACAGATGGTGAACATCCATTGGTTTACTTTGTTGGAACAAAGTCGTTTGCAACATGGCGCTCACTTGCACAGACTCATTACTCCAAAGCCCTTGAGTCTACTGAGCCCGTTCCCACAGAATTCAATAAGGATGCCGTTTGTCCACACGGCGAGTTGATGGTGGAATCATGTCGCATTGTTAGCCCTTCAATATGGCATCGAATAAGGTCCCTTTTCAATCCACCATTTTCTGGGTTTCCTACGGAGATTAACGAATATACCAGCAACTTAGTCAAGGACGCAAAATGCTTTGAGTGCTGTTCCACTCTCTCGAGCTTAAAACTCAAGGCCAAGCATGAGATGAAGAAAATGGGATCCATTCTCGATGCGTCTGATTACATGCCTACGGACCGGAATTTGGGTGAGCTTATTCAAGATTTCGGGTGAGTTATTTCTTTGGCTTAATGGCTCGCACCTTTTAGGAAGAACGAGGACAAAGCCGCAATCTACCTACTTCCTGCTGAATTTATTCGCCAATGGCGCAGATTTTGTAAGGCAACCAAGGTCACTGAAACTGTAGCCTTTCTTCCCTCGGGTTTCGACTGTCCCGATATTCGGTGTGAACATGATCGTGTAAGTCCTCCAATCATGGCCTAATTCACCTTTGAATGTGAACCACCACCTACCTCTCTCTCTCTCTCATTGCTGAGATAAGTTGGGTTACTTGCTATGATTGATGAACAGTGTCTCTCATTGTGACCTTGAGAGTTCCGTGTTTATTCGTGGATCGTCTTCTCTCCAGCTGTGATTCAATTCCGTTCGCCCCTTTGGTCGAGTTGATATGTTTTTTTTCAGTTTAACCGTTTTCTTGCTCTTCAACAGTCAACCTACCAAATGAGTAGACATATTTGAAGACAACCAAAAATACCCTCTTTACGGAGAGTCCATTAAGTCATAACTTGATTCACTGCTTTTCATTTACTGTTTGGATCATTTGTAAAGATATCTACGAGATTTTAGTATTTTATGAAACCTTGAGAAATTCGGTTCGTTTTGGTTTAGAAATTAAGTTTTGTTGTTTTGCATTGGATCTAATGTTACCGTCATGCATGACATCAACGATATGTGACACCTGTGCCACAATTATCTTTCACAGAGAGTCCTTCTTGATCTTTTCACCTGAAGAAACGAGCTGGAGTAAGAAATTTTGATTGTGTGGACAAAGTATCGCTCAACTATTCAAATGTTCCCAGAATGGGAGTACAAATTGCATCAAAATGGAGTGAAATAATAGGGTCAATTCTTTTCATCTTCCATCTCTCCTAGGCCTATTAAAAGGACATTCACCTTTGAGTTGAAGGAACGCTTCCTGAAACCGTCCTTGTCAAAGTTTCGCATTTCACAACTCCTCATTTTTGATGCGAA